AGACAGATAGATAGATAGATAGATAGATAGATAGATAGATAGATAGATAGATAATCTGATAAATAATTAGGCAGATAGATAGATAGGTAATCTGATAAATAATCAGGCAGATAGAGAGATAGATAGATAGATGATAAATAAATGATAGAAGATAGATAGATAGATAGATAGATAGATAGATAGATAGATAGACAGATGATAAATAAATGATAGAAGATAGATAGATAGATAGATAGATGATAAATAAATGATAGAAGATGATTGATAGATAGATAGATAGATAGATGGGTAGTTGATAAATAAATGATAGAAGATAGATAGATAGATAGATAGATAGATAGAGATAGATAGATAGATAGATAGATAGATAGATAGATGGATTGTTAGCAATTGCATGCCCAAAACACAATCATAATACTCCTTTACAGACTCAGGATGCATAGTCTGCACTGCAGAATGAATGCAGCTTGCTCTAGCTCTACGTTTATGGAATGGATGGCCATCTGTTGGGAGGAATCGGATTGTGTCTTCCTTTTCTGGTTAAATATTGAAACACTGGCAGAATGGGGTGGGACTAGATGGCCTTCAGGGCTCCCTTCCAGCTGGATGGTTCTCTGATTATGATATAAATGGAGTGAACCTTCTGCTTCCCATATTGACGTTTGTGTCGCAGGTTTCCGCGTCCTGCGCGCTTGCACCGAGAGCGCCGATACCCAGTGCGAATCGTGCAACGAAGGGATGTACACGACTGCGTGGAGCCAAGCCGAACGCTGCTTCAGCTGCGTCCCGCCATGTAAAGCAGGTACACAACAACGACAACGACAAACCTTGAGTCCTTATGGGGAGAAAGGCAGGATAGAAAAATAAAATAATAATAATAATAACAACCACCAACAACAACAACCACCACCACCAACAACCACCAACAACCACCACCACCACCACCCTTGAGTCCTTATGGGGAGAAAGACAGGATAGAAATATAATAATAATAATGACA